AGCTTCTGGGTCTTCTGCCCTGGATGGCAGGGAGCTGGCGGAGCACATTGTCCTGTCCTGCCTGTATTATGCAAATTAGCAGCCATCTTTGTTGGTGGTTAATTTGCATATCATGCTGATTAGCCAATGGGAGGCATAGCGAAGGTACAGTTAATTACCATGTTTGTCTATTATTAGATAGGACTAGAGGCCCAATGCATGAAATTCATGCAAGAGTAGGTCTTCCTTCCCCAGGCTGCCGGTACTGGCTTCCCTCTGGCACCTGGTACCCGGGCTTTCCTTGCAGCCCCAGCTTTGTCCGGAAGGTCATCCGGAAGGATGTCTGATCTAATTAGCATATTACGCTTTTAATATTATAGATATTCATTTCCCCCCAAGCCTGATCCTGCCACCTTAATTAGAATTTTCTTGGTGCCTTGTTCATTCAGATGAAATGAGCTTTATAATATTATCTTCCAACTCACATTTCATCCTCTTACTCATAAGAACAAATAAAAGAACAGAAAGTCCACGAGGAGAGTTTCATGTGAAGAATAATAATTATGAGGTGGTTCACTACTCAGAAGTGAAAGGAGAATGAAGTTCAATGGGAAGAGAGCCCTGGAATGTTATCTTTCCTAGGAAGGAAACAGTTATCAAGTTTGGAGGACACAAAGTAGGGAATGAAAGATGAATTGGAGTTACCTCTAATTCTCCACAGACCATCGAACCAGAAGAGAAATGGCACAAAACCGTTTCAAGGTCACCTTAGTCTCCATGGCAGTAGGAAGGAGAGGAGAAAAGAGTGATGTTAGAAAGAGACAGATCAGACAACCAACCACAGTCTCTGTATGTGTAATCTAAAAAGGAATGAATATTGTAAGCTTATACAAAAAAATTCCATATTACACGTGCCAACTTACCCAAGTACGTATGGATGCCAGTTATAAGATATCTATATTAATAATCTATACTAATAATAGACAAATATGTAAATCGACCATCCCTCCACAACACCCACAGCCAATCAGGAGTCAGTATGCAAATTAACCCAACAAAGATGGCGGGCCTTTGGGCAGCTTGCACGCGCGCAGGCGCCAAGTGGCCAGGGGTGTTCCCCCCACCCTGCGCCGCTCCAGGCCTATGTGCACAGGGGCCTGCTTGGCCATCGCCAGAGGCGACCCAGGAGCAGCCAAACGGGCCCCACAGACTGCACACAGCAGGGCCCACCTCCTGGCCCAGAAGGTGCGCCATCACAGGGACAGCCACCATGGTGGGCCAGATTGACGTCCTCCTGGCCGCACCACGGGGGTTTGCAGATCTGCGAA